CTAAGGTGAAGGGTCGCATTTACCATTCAGTAACAATCTAACAACAATTCAATTCTTCCGTTTTCTCTCAATCAGACAACTCGTATATAAGTTACAAGAGATGTGTTATTTAAAAAACAAAACATCCGGTAGCTATTTATTTCAAACAGTAGTTTATTTTTGTTCATATTAACTCATTTCCTAAATAGCATGGAATTCTTCTAGTAATTAAATTCTTTATCCTCGGATTTTAAGCGCTACCCAACGTAAATTTTATACTAATAGCTGAAATATTCAATATATCAACCACATTATTCCTATTGTTAAATGCTACTACGGTGGTCTAGAGGTAACGGGCTCGCTTTGCAATCCAAAGGTTCGGGGTTCGAATCTCAGACAGAGCAAGACTTTTTTAATTTAAATAAAATTCGAAACCAACTTTAAATGTACCGCCAATTGCAGCCCACCTCTCTCCTTCACTCCGATCTCTATTGCGCATGCGTTTAAATCTAGAAATTTTGAATTTACCACCAATTTTATTACCGCGCTCTGATTGGCTGGGAGAGGCGTGGCACACCTGTAATTAACACCTGTCGGCGGTATCCTTTGATCTTTGCCGACAAATTTTCCCACGTTCCCAGAAATTTTCCCAGTCTCAAGTAGCGCCCTACCTACTCAGCAGTTATCTTTATATTCCATACATGCAATACAACGTTGTTTTGGCGGGTGGCTATTATACACAATTGACATTTGTCTCTAACAAGTCCAAAATTTATAACTTTTAGATTTAGACATCCCTCACATTTATCAGTTTTTGCTATAGGTACAGTATTTTCTTTCTCACACGCTACACATAGCCCCGTACAATCTTTAATTAATTCTTTACTCCTCCCAGAACAACAGTTGTGACATATAATTAAACCCCGCACGCGAATGGGATAAACCTTTACTATAGCTTTCGACTCCCATTCTTTCGGAAATGACATTTTGACTAGTTGAGATGTATAAACAGACTGAACTCCTCAACATACTGTAAATGCTTATATAACAAAGTAGGTGGTTGACATCTATTTGACCTGTAGGAAATTTAAGTATATATAATGTTGCAGACGACCTTAACTGCCCTTGCCTTAAATGTGTTATGTCATTCATCATCCATATTAAGTCTCCCCCTCTCTAACATCTACGATGTTTACCTGACTATAAATAGTTGTAAAACTGTACGATGTATCATTGATGTGATATCGTCTGCAATAGTAATTTGCCTTTCAGAGTGACATATACCTTTTTTGTTATTAAAAATGGAGCACAATGGTGAGAATTCGGTTTCATTGTGTTAATAATAATATAATTTTTCCTTTTTTTTCTTTCTTTCAGATTTTATTAACTGCTCTCTAGTGCCTCACCATCGCCTCTTGAGGCATCGTTTGTCTGCGCATCTGATAAGATGTCAGACTCAGGTTGGAGCAGGGTGCTCTTACTGCTGGAACAATACAAAGATGCAATGAAATCGCTGCTGCTTCCACAACAAATGACTGCCACCAATCAAAGTGTGATGTTGAATCATCTGCACGTTGGTCTGAGACACTTGCTGCTGCTGCTGGGACAATGCAAAGATCTAATGAAATCGCTGATGCTTCCACAAGAAATCACTCTCATCAATCAAAATGTGACGCTGGATCATCTGCACGTTGGTCTGAGGCAGCTACGGATGAAAATGACTGGGACCATTATGATGTACCCACTTACATCCCCCAAGTCGCCACAAACTTTCAAAAACCTCCACCGTTTCTTTCCAGAAACGAAAGGAAGCAGTGGCGATTGAATCGAAGAATAAATAAATAAATTTTTTTTTTGTATCTATATGTACTATTTTTTAAAAAATTAATAAATAAAGTAGATGTACCAAGTCAATATTTTTATTTTCTTTAACCGCTTAAGTAATAAAACATATTTTTGCTATATCCTTTATAAGAAAAATGTTAAGATATTAACAAAATATTAACAAATGGAATGTATTATAATAGAGACTAGTTAGTGTCTAAACAGCCTCACATTTGTAATGTCAGCTAAATGTTTTTTATTAAATAAATTATATGTATATACGAATACATGATGGTTTCTTTCAATATATTAAAAAAAAAGTGTGGTCTCTCAACATTTTACTATTTTTAAAGATGCATAAGTGTTAGAGCAATATGAAAATATCAAGTGACAATAACCTTCAAATAACCTTAGTTTTACATATATATAAAGGATTTCAAATTTAAGAAATCAGTATCTTTGATACAACTGAAGGGGCAACATGGAAAACAGAGGAGTTCCAGTAGTAGAGGTTGCTAAGGCGGATTCTACGACTTATCCATACCACTCGCCAGATAGAAATTGGTCCTCTTCCTGGAGTGATACCACTGACGATATGGAATATGATGATGACAACGAGATCGATGAAGACGTCAATATAGAACCAGACTCTTCTACATCTCCAGGCAGGTTGTCAGGTTCAACGACACCAGACAACCTCAGCATCGATTTCGGTAAGCAAATAATGCGATAATAAGTTTAAAAATAACTTTTTTCTGTACAATTACAGGCAAGTGGGGGGGCGGCAGGGAGGCTTTGCCCCCCTGGACCCCCCCTTTGGGTGCTTTGCGAGGACTTTCAACAAAAATTATTTTAACGTCCACAACTTTAATTAAAACTATGTTTCTGTTTTTATGTTTTCCCAAACAACATATTTTTCAATATTTACAAATCGTTAAATTTATTTAAACAGTATTTATTAAATACAAAAAATTTTATTTTTATTAAAATACATTTTTTAATATATGACATTTTATTATATAGGTCAACTTAAGGTCAAAACAACCCAAACAACTTTAATTAAAACTATGTTTATGTTTTATTAAACAATTTATTTTTCAATATTTACATATCATTAAATTTATTAAAACACTAATTATTACATATAAAAAGAATTTTAATTTTTATTTTAAATATATGACATTTTATTATATGCGTAAACTTAAAATAAAACAACCCAAACAACTTTAATTACAACTTTGTGTATGTTTTATTAAACAATTTATTTTTCAATATTTCTATATCGTTAAATTTATTTAAACACTATTTATTACATATAAAAATGAATTTTTATTTTTATTAAAATATATTTTATTTTAAATATGTCATTTTATTATATTCGAAAACTTAAACTAAAACATTTATTTTACTTATAATTATATATTTACAGATATTAAAGTGTATACTAAACATAACTTATCCATCTACTTACATTAAAACTACGTATATACATCTACTAATTACATATTACTCATTCGCTCGTCTCACTTTCATCCGCTCAGTCAACCTTTTTAATACATTTCCACTTGCATTCTTCTGTCGCACTTTATTGTCTCTTTTCACCTTCCATCGTCCTATTTTGTCGAGCGTCACCCGCACTTTGTCTTGCAACACCCGCATTTCGTCTTGCCACACCCGTACTTTTTCCCTCTCGCCGGCGATGCGATCGTCGAGGTTCTTTAGTTCACGATCGGTTGCATCCTCCCTCCGATTGTGTTTGTCCCAGTATCGGAGAAAGGATCTTACTATCTCGGACTCACCGGGTTGGGAACACTGAAACCAATCGTCATCCTCTGTGTGGGCTGCTGCGGTGAGGGCCGGTGCTGCAACGGGTGCCTGTGCTTCCACAGGGGCCGATGCTTCCACGGGGGCCCGTGCTTCCACGAGGGCCGGTGCTTCCATAAGGGCCGGTGCTTCCACGGGAACCGGAGCTTCTACGGGGACCGGTGCTGCAATGGGGACCGCTGCCTGGGGGGCCGCATGGAGTGTCACTGTGGATATCGTTGGTTGCTGCAGCAACTGATATAGTTCGGACGCCTTCCCTTTGTCCGCTCTTTTCTTACCCGTCCGACTCGAAGGGCGACTAACTTTCTTCGTCGCCATCTTGACGGATGCTGGTGGCGGCTTGGATTGGAAGACGTCGTCTTCGTCGTCGTCGCTGATGGGCGACAGAATCGTTGAGGGAAGGTCTCCCAGGTCGGCTAATGCCCTTGTGATGAGGTCATCCTCGGAAACGTCCATTTGGACCACCCCGGTAGCTTGTTGACAACGCGTGGTGAAGTAGCCTGGGTTCACTGGAGCACACTGCTTCGGCTGTTGAAAATATTCTTGAATATGACGTCGCTCGTCCGGCGTCATCTTCGGCATCAGCTTTCCCACACTAGCCGACTTCTTTTTGGTTGATCCACAAGCGACAACCTTTCGCGGCACAGTACTTGTACGGCCCATCATTAACAAACACAAAACAATTATTACAAAAGCAAAAATAGGATGCACGGCACGGCACGTCTTCACTCTACTCAAGTACGAAGCGAAAGAGGACGCTCCCAATGATACAGTCCTTTTTGTCTCCGAGACTCCCACCTCCGTATTCCATCACACTGTGCATGCTTCACCGAGTGCGCACTCGTACCCAAGCCATTTGGCTTGGCGTCACCTGTTACTGCGCAGATTCATTAGAATGCTTGGTCCCTATTGGCTAACAGATTAGCGTCCTTCTAATAATTTCGCGTCCCTTCAAACACGCATGCGCCAATGTAGTTTATGGCAAGGTGCGGCAGACGCGCTAGCTTGACATTGTTACCAACTTCAAATTAACAAGTACTGTTACCAACACATATATTATTAATGCTACCAACTGTGTAATACCTTAATGATTGTTGACCATCACCATAATGTTACCAATTTATAATCTGCTATATTTTGTTGTCCATTGTGTAATTACAACTTTGTTCGTCCAATTTGTTTTATTGTATAGCTTTTAAGACATGTTGTCATCTACGTATGTAGGTTCTCAATCAAGTTAATAATTTGAAATATCTTTAATTTCAGATTAAAATAATTTAATAATAAAACTTGTCACTATTTTTTCTTCTTACAATACATACAAGTTCAATCACAATATTATAATACATTTTTCTGTTATGTAGATATGAATTTTCCAGTTATTCGACTAATTCTTCGAGTGCTTCTATTAAAAGTTCCAAATTATTTTTTCTCTTGATACGTGCGGCCTGGCTTAAAGCAGTTACGAACCAAGTGAAATTGTTATCGTATTCGGTTTGATAGAATTTTATATCATGGTGTCCCCATGGGAGAGTTGACGAGCTATTTGGAATTACAAAACGCTTATCATCGTAATGAGAAAGGGCTACTTTGTTTTTTAGTTCTGTATAAATGTCATGTAACTCGCTTCGGAAAGAGTTCATCTTCCTAAAAATCAAACCGCCTCGTTCTACGATTTTTTTATAGTCATCCACGGTCAAAGTGTGCTTTATAACTGACTTCTTTACCCCTTTTGCTTTTTTTAATTCACTATTCAATGATTTTACATAATAAGCTTTAGCTGCAGTCCCGTAGAACTCCATTATTGGATCTGCCGGAAACTCATCTTTCATTTTTCCTAAAATCGAGGGGGATATGGGAATACCGAATTTATTTCCTTGCTTATAATTAGACGTGTCGAAATGATTTATATTAGATTTAATGAAATTATAAAAGTTGTCAGTGTAAATTTTGATAATCAAGGAATCTGTATCCGTATAAAGTAACGAGGCGTTGCGACCAAAGTTACCTTTAATTATATCATATAAAAAATTGTATATAACCGTTTTTGATAATTCCAATATTGAAAATCCGAGGTAAAGAGGTTTATTATAATGAACTTTTAACTTGCCCATGTGTATGGCGACAAAGTCCTCCGAGAAGATGGTGCATGATTTGAAATTAGGACGAGCAATTAATGTATTTGCACCAAACGATTTTCGAACTTTTTCCCAGTGAGTTACCAATTTGATATCTTTCCTAATATCCACGTTCTCCATCGTTTTACCGTACACGGCATTGTTCATGAGCTTAAAAAAATCTTTTTCGAATTTGTTTGATGTAGCATTTCTCATTACAGTGTTAAGATCGATATAGACTTTCAACCAAGGGCTTTGATTAAATTTTATTATACGATGTATTTTAGTGACTTTCAAACCGTTTCTTATTGCTTGTTTCAAGTTCCTAAAGTGTATAATGTACTTATGTTTATTATTTAAATTTGGAATTAATTTTGGAATTTTTGACTTTGCACCAGGTGGAACAATATTCTCTGCTAATAAGGGCAGGTCTGAGTGTGCATCATGTAATTCTTTAGGATATTTCACGTCTACTTCTAACGCGTAACCGTTAAGTCCTTCGTCGGGAATATCCATTACGTTAAATTTAGAAATTTCGTCTTCTGTTAACCACGAAAATCCACCGGTTGGTAAACACTGTGACATGCTGTGTCCGTAGAGATTCGTGGCATCCAAATACATAATAAAAGACGAAGGTTCGTCTGGATTATAATTTGGAA